TAATGCCTTGAAGACATTGATAATTGAAGGAAGTCCGGAATACCGGTAGTTGGAGTGCAGCCATGTATACGTAGTGGGTTCAGGTTGTTTCCTCTCCAGGATTTCTATCCCCAGGCTTAGACTGGCGGTCAGGCTGTCTCCGTGGAGAAATTGACACATTGCCAGAACCAAGGCCGATAACTTCTTTGCTGTAACTGTTCTTGATGTACCGTACTGTGCTTTCATTCAGCTGACGTCCAAGTTCTCTTGACATGCGCTCTGCTGTCCTCTGGGGTCCGATTTCGAGGCACATCTTTGCGATTCTCACCCGCATTTCTGGGGTGTAGGTGCCGTAGTTTCCGCGCTTCTTCCGGCTTCTTGACTCTATTACCATGTCTGTAGTTATGTTCCTGTAGGCTGCTGAGGTTGCCCCGGATTCTGGATGTCCCCGGTGTTGGACAGTCCAAGTGTAGTGGGGGGCTGCAACGACGAGTTTGATTTTTTCAGCCAGAGGCAAAATTGGCCTGCGTCTTATAGTGTATCATCTGACAGTCTGACAAAAGCGTGTTTTTATTTTTGAGTGCCGCGCGTACCCTCAAGGAGGTTGAAATTATTTAGGGGATCCAACAAGGCATTTGTCAAACTTGAAAGGACAGTGCCGACAACTTCAACACTTATCTTTTTATTGCCGTGTGTGCTCGGCATTTTGAACTATTTGAAGTTGTCTGGCTGTTTGCCCCCAAAAAGTTCAATAAGCATTCAATAATATCAGACAGGTAGGTTGGTAATATCAACATGGGGGCTGCTGATACTATGCATTGTTTTGCTGTACATTAACAATCACAAGCAGAAATTGTGATTAGGTCCCACAAACACAAGTTACAGCACCATCTGACACGTTGAAAGATATTGTTTCTGCAAGATTCTGCATTATTCAGCATGAGGCATGTCAGCTGCTACAAGTATAACTTTTGGCGAGTCACTGGCTTCTTTCCTGAAGCCAAGACTGACTCAGCCTCAAAGTTCATTGAGTGCATAAAAATGTTGCTTCCTCCTTTGTTCTCCACATCAAAATGTCGTAAAAGTGCAATTTACAAACAAATGAAGACTTACCATTGCCTGAAGTGCTGTCTTCCTGAGAGGGCTCCGACTGAACAAAGCTGGGCCCGGCACCACCAAAGTTCAAGTCTTCACTGAATAGTCCACTTGTGCTTGTACCTGGCAAGGCATCAAGCATGCCGCCAACATTATCTGTGTCTCTTTTCATGCCCATCGCAGAGTCTGTGTCCTTTTGGGTGTGCATAGGCTCGTCGAACAATGTTGGCGCCGTAGGTTCGACGATACATGCGGATTCAGACCCTGGTTCCTCCTTTATCGTTGGTATGGTTGGCAATTGGATGTCAGCTGCCGTTGTAGTGGTGGTGGTTGTTGTCTCCGGTGCCCTGGGCTGTACAGTCTCAACATGCCTGGTTGTTACAGGTCTTGTATGGTGCTCTGGTTCAGTGGGGATCTCTCTTTGGCTTGCAGCCTGAGTTTGAGTCCTACTCTGTGCTGCGTTCAGTCTGGCAAGCAGCGTTGGCGCTTGCGTTGTCACGATCCTTGGGCTCTCTTGAGGCGGCGTCGCCCGCGCTTCTGTTGCTCTTCTCTTCGCTGGCGGCTCCGCGTGTCGAACTGGTTCCGAGTGAGGCTGAGGGGCCTTGCTGGCCCTACGCGATGCGGAGGGTTTGGCTGCCCCCAGCATGGCTGCATTTCCCACACTGAGATCGATAATGTACTGAAGGGATGTGCAGTTGAAGAAGTGTTTGAGGACTTTAAGCATGACGTCTTGGTCCACGCTGAAGGCACAGTGGGGGCAACTGAAGTCTCCACACAGGCCCTCCTGTAAAGAGATTCAAAATGTAGTCTTTAATATCAACATCTCTGCAAGGCAAAGTGTAGTGTTGCTGGATGACATAAATGTGCCATACAGCTCATGAGCAGATTTTGTTACCCTATTCAAATATTGGGCTGTTTAAAAAAAAACTAACTGTGGAGGGAGAGTGGAAGAGGCTATATTGGAGGGAGGGTATGGGTTTGAACATCTATGAGGAACTAGGGAGGGTTTCAGTAATTTTGGACAAGGAACTAGGGAGGGTTTCAGCAACATCTGGATTGGAACTAGGGTAGGATCCAGAGTAGTTTTGACCTCTTCCATCCCCCCTCTACATAGTTTTTCTTGGAACAGCCCACTTACAAATAAATCTTACAAATCATAGGTCTCAGCAGCATATTTTTGTCCAAGAAAACATCAATTTTCAGCTTCAAGTTCATGTGTGTTAGAAAAAAATTACCCATTCTACGTCCATTCGATCTGAATCTAGATTCCAGGCGAACGCGCGCGGGCTGCAAAAATTTTATATGCCAGAGACATCACGCGCAGAGGCGCATGACGCACAGATCAAAGCCATTCAAATGTGCCCCAGATAGGCAGCAGCGGTCACGGGACTTCTACATGCATGCAGAACGCCATCAACATCCAGCTACATCCGTGCTGCTTACCGCTTCCACGGCTAAAATCACACTTTCCGCGGCACGGAAATTACGATTGCAATCAACGGGATTCGAAAAACATGAAGTAGCAGCTATTCGAGCTAGGCTTTACGGATTTTATGCTACAGGCGGCGTGGGGGGATTTATTTTGTCGCCGCAGGCGGTAGAAGCTACGTCATGTTCTTATGCAAATGAGCTCCTCATGCATATCCGGAATCAGGCACACGTCCCTTTGTCTGGGCGCGTCCGGATTGTGGGCGCCTACTCACCCCGCTTTCTCTGTGGAAATCCTCCGTCACCGCGGTCGCCATAGTGATATCTTCGCTCTCTGTGTCGTCTTCAACCCTTAAAGGAGCTTGCTTCTGTCTCATATTCAGCTAACGAGCAAGTTTGGGAGCGAAATTCTCGTCCGTTCGAGAGAGACGCCTGGGCTCCACCTCACCACCTACCGCCCTCAGGACTCGAATGAAACCGAGGCTCATGAGCCCTGCTAAACACCACGTGACATCAGCTCTTGCATATGCATAAAGTCCCCATCGATTTTACTCCAAGCAGAGGTTTGGCGTGTTTAGGGCGAATCATTTTAGCTTTTCTTGGCGTTATGTCGGGATTTCTATTTTTTTCTATTCCAACATTTAATCACAAGACGTGGTGAAAGCACACTCAAGATTTTTCAACTTGTATTATCACATAATGTCCAACACAGGGGACCATACAATACTCATTCTCACCTGAGCGAAGTGAGGAAAGTTGTGTAAAAAAAAAGTAAAGTCTTTCAATTTGTCGGCTTTTCTTTGGGTATCCTGGCCAGTTCATTTTTCAACATTTTGGCGTAACACGATTTATTGATCGCAATAAACTGAACTTGCCCAACGTTGCATTATGGAAAAGACCAGAAACTTTGGATATCTATAATAACGTTACAACGCGTAAGGCATTGTTTATTTTACCATACATTTTATTATTAGATCCAATAAACAAGTATCATCAGTTATGGATTCTTCAGCAAATGACATATGACTTAATATAAATAATCTGATTGATCACCTCTGTTTAAAAAGTTAAGATCTAATTGTTCACGATTTATGGTTGATTGCTAAATGCATCCCAAAAATACTAAACATGAAATATGAAGACGAAGGTTACATTTTCATGGTAGTATATGCTAATACATGTAAAACCTCTAATATAACAGGAACATATTTTGAAACAAGAAATTTATCCAAACTAGAAAGGTAACACTTGCAAAGCAAATGCATAATATTTACCTTCACCGGTCTGCTCAGTTAATTCGTACTCAAACGCATTCATATACACAATATATATGGCGACACGTATATATAAATCTCTCCTGCTATATAAAAGTGCAACGTGATTTAACCCAACACCAGTTACCATGGTCGCAGTCGTCTGGTTCTGGTCATTGACCTTTTGTGTTTGGAGAAGAGGAAACTGCAAAAACATTTTCCTTCTGTAAGCATAATAAAGTTCCAGTACCATACAAAGAACATTAGTTTACCTAGAAAATAAGCAATTTAATAGTTACAGCAGAACTGTGTCGTTTCTTTCCAAAAGATATAAACGTTGGTACATAAGTTATACGTCATGATGTACTCGATGATTGAGTACTACTAGTAGTTACCCTCTGTGGAAAGTTGCGTGACAGGTATTTAGGAGTGTTAAGTGTTCCTCAGTCTATATGCATTGATAAAGTGTTTGTAAGAATGCACTTGTCTGACATTTTTAATTCAGTAATTCAACCCTTGTCTGTGAAGATCTCAGACCATACAATGTACAGTTATTACTCCGTGAAGGAGGTCAGGACCTCCGGACGGAGTGTTGTGAAGAGCCGTTTTTTCGTGTTCGCAGTTAAAACACTGGGTTCTCTTTGTGTAATCGGCATGCAATGTTATACGCCGTCTGTGGGCATGCCAGTGTTGATGCACGAATGTGTATTTTTGCCGTTGCTGCTTTCGCGGTCAATGTAATATTGCAGATGCACCCCTACAATTATGAGGCAAATTGGAATGGTCCAGAAAAACCCGTTGTTTGGAATAGCGGTGGGGGGGTGGAACTTCAGGCAGACGTGGTGAGGGCCGATAAGTGGTACCACGGCAGTAACACTCGCGGTGCTGGCCGCAACTGTTGCTGGAATTTGCCAGTCGCGCTTAATAAGTAACAGGCACGGTAAGACGGTGGGGCTGTCTCTGTTACTAGTGACACGACCATGATAGTCCGATCTTTATGTGAATGCAATGATTGTGTGTGTGTGTAATTAAAATGAACTTCGAACTTGAAGCACAGTATCTTTACACGCCCTGGGAGCAGTAATGGATTTAGGTCTTTTCATGTTTTATGGTTGTGACGCGCCCTCATTGTATTATCCGTTGCCTTATGTCTGCACAGTAGGTCTGGCGTTGACGCTTGGGATTATTTTTGTTGCAAAATATAAAGCTTCACGGAGGATTGTCACCTATGGCTTCTTGTTTTTGTCGTTGAAACAGAGTATTTACGGAAAGTTAAACATCAAATGCTCAGGTTTCTTCACCACGCGCTGTACTACTTCCATGCACTTCTTTTTGGCGTCGTCAGGGGTCGACCCGTACGTCCAAACCTTCGCAAACACGGTCTTACCAGGGAGAAACTCCTCGTCGAAATACATGACCATAGTGATCTTGACGTCAGGGTCTTTCTTTAGGATTTCCAGCTCAGACTTATTGACCATGTCTCCGACCTTCGCCGTGTAGTCGCCGCGGACTAGGAGAGGCAGGTTGAGAGCGGCCCGTCCCGTGGGTACAGGGGGGACGGGCCGGACCCCGCAGCACAGCCCGAGGAGCACCTGCAGCGGCAGCGGGCCCGACAGGCAGGCCGCGTACAGGCCGCTCAAGTTACCGGAAATACGGCCATTCACCTCAATCAGCTTGATCTGGGGGAAAATTTCGTACAGTTAGACATTTTAATCATCTGAATGTAGCAGCAACATCTTCACTACGATGTTAATGCCCCAATAGAGGGCCTTGCCAAGTATCCATGTAGATATAGAAGATAAGGTATGTTTGTGACGCATGACTGACATATCCGTGTGGGACGGGAAGAGGAAAGAGTACCTGTCCGTCGGCCAGGATGAAGTACTCCACATGTACGAACTGGTTGTTGAAGCCGTGGTCCACCATCCTGCCCACCACCTTGTCAAATCCGCCCCACAGTCGCCTCTGGACCGCGTCTGTAGGACATACAAAAGATATATGCCTACAAGATGACAAAAAATATCAACATGGAACATGGAAATACTACTAACAGTTGAGACAGCACTATACAGGTTTTGCAGGATTCATCAACTGATGATGGTAACTATAGAAGAAGTGTTCCTCATTATGGGAACATCTGTAGACTGTTGAAAATTGAAAACTAATCTGACCTTGTAGGGCAGAAGGCATGTAGCTTCCCTGGAAGGGAATGTCGTGTCCCGGCCAGTGGAGACTGTCAGAGATGGCCCAGTGGATGATCTCTTTGTTGTAAACACATCCGTCCACATTCACCTGATGTTGACATGCACATATACATTCTTAAAACCAGAAGTTCCCATTTTGAGGTCTTGAACTATCGCAAACGTTCATTAGGTTTCATTTGCTTATCAATACTAAAACAGCATCATTCTTTGCTATACCATGCAGTTTTTCCCTTGTAACTAAGTACAGCTTGGTGGAATAGTTACCTTTGCCGGTGCATCAATGTACGGCTCCACTATGACAGTGTTCCTCAGAACCATCGGGTAGTGATCCACATCCAGTACCTTCAGTATGAAGTCACGCATGAAGGTTGCGTTGCTGATGTGTTCATTCTGTGTGAAAGAGGGCCATCGGAGGTGATTCAGTGACGATAACTGATAACGCATTTTAAAATGTAACTGCCTGGTCACAATATCTTTTCTGATAACTTTTCCAAACAGCTTTATAGTTAGTTGTCTTTCAAAAATTTTGTAGGATAAATGTTTTAAGTCTTTGTAACTAACCTGGGAGTAATGCCCCTCGTTAATACGTCCTATCTCCTCCAGTACATCCGTCAGCTGACTGGCGCTGCTAATCTTCCAAACACCCTGAGAGGCATCGCCGCACGGAACCTAAAACAACAACAGTCATAGAATAATATCACAAAAACACCCAGTTTATATCTGTATGCACCTTCGAACAGAGAAGCTAACTTTACATTTGTAATCAGATCTTCAAAGGTAGATTCGATATGGCTTCTATACCTTTGCAAAGGCAGGAAGCTCCACACTCTTTAACAGAGTCGCGGCATCTTCAGGAAGGGTCGGTGAGTCCAAGTCCAAGACGCCGTGAGGAGAAGACTCGGAGTCCGGGTCCAGACACTGGCTGGTGTACACCTTGTGATAGGCGAGAAACGACGACTCCACACTCGGCCCTTCGAATCGATTCGGGAACTCTCGTGACAGAGCCGATTGCACGAGCGTAGCAACGTCAGAGAGTGCCAGAACCACATTGACGTGATTGTCGTCAATAACCTAGACGGACGAGAATAAAAATAAAAATAATCCTTTTCATGAAGCTTAGTATACCGGGAACCCGTTTAGTTTGTGTTACAGCCTACGGGACATTAAAGCTGCATACGTTTATTCATTGAGACAATCGTTGTATCAACGAATACAAGAGCTGTACCCTTAAAGACCTTGCAACTCAATATGATCAAAACTAAATGGATGTTTCTAACGTGGCATCTTAAGCTATTTAAAGCTAACAAGGCGTGACTCCAGGCTACCTTGGTTTGTCATAATGATCAAGACGAGAAATGCTAGAGTCAGTACATAGGCATGTGTAACCTCAGCTAGCTAAACATAATGCATACCTATCCCTTGTGCCGGAGGCACCCAGAAAGGTCAGTTACAAAAGTGGCGTCTTCAAAGAAAACGGCATACTTCACTGCAATTTGAGCCTGCCAGCTCCAAGTATAGGTGCACGTTTGACTCTAATCAGGTAATATATTGACGTTATAACGTCGTCTAAGCCTCGGGAGATACTGTACGCCACCCTCCATACTCAGACAACCAGACGTACCTTTGTGACTTGAGAAAATACTAGATAAGTTTGACTATAGTTTGACGACTAATTTACGTACATACGCTTAAATGTACTGATTATGTATTAGGTTGAGTTTGAGCAGCTGCCTTCGCATTACGAAGAATTAAAAGACCAAATCACGCCTGTTAAAAATGAACATTCAAGTTCCCAAAGAGTTTCTCACTTCTTTTAGTCGATAGAAGTAGTCCAAGAGATTTTCACCCTCTTGTAGGTGGCTAAAGATGACCTTCCCTACTGGGATTCCGTCACAAGACCGAAGCAGGTTTTCTTTAGTGCTGTGGTCCACAGCCCTGTAACAGAACGGCACCAGGATGGTCACAGGTTGCTCAGTGTTACCATTAGACATGGTTTGGGAACTCTCAGACTAGTTGTCATCAGAAACCCTGTAGAGTAGACGACAGCTTTCCCAGTAGCGCCGTTCTCGCTATGTACTGACTATTGCGAGTACCGGTTCTACAGGTGTAGTTAACCTGAGCACATCGTAGCTAAAGATAGCCTTCCCTATGGCAAGGACATTTTATTGTCTATAGAACGATATACCTACCTACTTACCCAGTTTCGTGACAATCCATTGATAGCTTCTTGAGTTATTGTGCTAAACCATACATGCACACACACACACACACACACACACACACACACACACACACAAGAAAGG